AAAACAAAATGGCCACTAGTCAGACATAAAGAATCCGATCTAAAACATAAAACAAGTTTTTTAGTACAAAAATAGCCACCATTAGGCCACTTTGAAAAGGATTGTCAAACCAATATATCCGTATATCTGTGACATGATGTATAATGAATATTAAAAATTTGAACATAATCAGTCAAAACAAGTCAGACATATGGGTCTGGAAACCCATTCATTAAAACAAAATGGCCACTGGACAGCCATTTTGAGTCTGATCTGAAAAACAAAATGACGTGCATCAGGAACCCGTAATTCTAATGTATGTACCAAGTTTGAACGAAATCCATCCATAAATGCCAGAAATGCTTGATATTTGATGATTTTTTAGCACAACAATGACAACCATTCAGCCATTTTGAATAGGATCGTCAAACCAATATATCTGTCTATCTATGACATGATGTATAATGAATATGTAAAATTTGAACATAATCAGTCAAAACAAGTTGGAAATATGGGTCTAGAAGCCCATTCATTAAAACAAAATGGCCTCCAGTCGGCCATCTTGAATCAGATCGTAAAAAAAAATGATGTTCATCAAGGTCCTATAATGTCCAACGTATATACAAGGTTTGAACAAAATCCATCTGTAAACAGCCGGGAAATGCTTGATTTTGATGATTTTTAGCACAAAAATGGCCGCCATTTGGCCATCTTGAATCAGATCGTGAAACAAATTGATGTGCATATGTATGATATCATGTATGATGTATGTGTGAAGTTTGATTGTGATTGGTCCAGGCATTTCTAAGATACAGGTCCGGACGCACGCACAGACACACGGAGGTCAAAACATAAGTCCTCGTTTTCGGACTTCGTCCGAACGGGGACTAATAATACAACAATGTAGTGTCAATGGTCAATATTGAGTTTAAATGATATAATACCTAAATCACAGCCTCCATGGTGTATACAAACTTAGCCTCTGTGCAATGTATTGCGCACATTTAAATACAAAATTGTACAAATTATGTTGATTGTGTGTTTTTTTCATTCTCACAATTTTGGGTTGTCAGGCAACAATGCTTTTCAATTTTCTTTGTTATCATTCAATGACATTCACTAAAAAATATTAAAATCACTCAAAATTTTTGATTAAAATAGCATTCCAGCATAGGACAAACTAATATAATTTTACTATTAAACTTAATAAAAGGCAATAAGCTACTCAAAATAAAAAATATAACAAATAAGTTAATACAATACATTTTTAGTCTACGTTATGGGCAGCATTTGGTTTGATGGCGTGAAATAAGTTTCATTCAGCTTTCATTTTTAATCACCAAAAACAAGAAAAGGATGAGGTGATGTCAGTTTATGCTATTCCCTGATAAAGGAGCATGGCTTGAGCAGCATTCCATAATCAAACAAACAAATGACATACTGAAGACACATTACTCTGTAGAGAGAACACTTACACCATGGTTTGTAATACAATGTATGGTAGTCAATTTTTAAATTACATAACGGCAACTTGTAATAATATTGTACTTCTTGTAGAAACTAGTTTTCTGTAAGTTCATTCGTCCCTTGTATGATATATAGGGGGGTTAAGAGTATGGTACATGTTAAAATCCTCAATGATACCAACTACAATAAAAACATACAAAATTTATCAACAGTTCTATACCATCAGATATGTGTGATGCACCACAAAACAATTCATTTCAAAACAATGTTTTTCAATATATAATATGCAATTTTATTATCCAAAAGGACACGTTATTATCATGAAAACAAAAGTATGTGACAGAGAGATGACCTATGAAATGTTGATGACCTATGAAATGTTGAGATGACTTATGAACTGTTGATTCATTCAAACAAACAAGGAAGGAAGTTAAAACTAAAATTCAATGTAATTTTCTTCATATTTGTGTAAGGTGTAGAAATGGAGAGCCAGCAAACAAGTCTGAATTTTTATGGAATGGCAACATTTCATTGTACCTGTATTGGATTGCAAATCTATGGTGAAAATGTTTCATAACATCTAGGAACTGTGCTGAATAGCATGGGCTGAAAAAGTTGGATATTGTTTAATCCTGAAATGTAACAAATATTCAAAGAAATTACCATTTAATTTAATGACTTTTCATATTGCTCCCCCACCGTATAGGCCCCTCTCCCAGGTCCTGATGCATGACACACTACAAGTACATTCTAGAAAACTTTCTATTGCTTCTTCTTTCTCGCAGACCTACGTGGGGCAGTATCAGCAGCAGAACTAGAATTAGTAATAGACTTGGTAGTCTTACAGGACTTGTAAGAGTTACACAGCATTGATACAGGACAAGCAGTATATACAACACCAAAGACAGTGAATATAACCAGCCAAGTAGTACTGCTTAAGTTGATGTTTGGAGCTCCCATCAACATCTCTGGCACAACCAATATCCAATCTATAAAAGACACAAGATAAAATCAAAGAAAGCTTAGAAAGAACTCCCGTGTGCTGAGAGTATTGAAGACACATTAAAAATTAATTCAAAATTACTTGTACATGAGATATTGATGGAAAAGCTGAAAACTAATTATGTAAATCAGGTAACTAATATGAACAGAACAGAACAAAAAAATTATGAATTATTATGCTAATTAGAGAATTAATATTAATCAAAATTAATCAGGCCTGTCTATTGTCCTGGAGCATTTCTGTACCAAATTTTATTCAAATGTGATGATCAGTAATTGAGATATCAGTGTTAATTATTTTAATTAGGTGATTAATAAGCATAAATATTTACCAAAAACTAATTGGGTTTCTGCATAGTTCTCTTTAAAAGTTTCATTAAAATCCAATTTGTGGTTCTTTATATTTCAGTGGAACATTATGCAAATTAGGTAATTAATATCCAATTAAAACTAATCAGGTGTCTGCATAATCCTAGAAGATCTATGTAGCAAGTCTCATTGAAATATGATTACTACATGATATATCAAAAGCTGAAAATTAATTAATTATGCTAATTAGGTAATTAATATGTACTCGTATTACCCTAAAAACTATCAGGTCTGTGCAGTGTCTTATGACATCTATGTACCAAGTGTCATTCAAATGTGATGATTACTACTTGAAATATCAAAAGCTAAAAATTAATTAATTATGCAAATTAGCTAATTAATATATACTGATATTACCCTAAAAACTATCAGGTTTGTGCAGTGTCCTATGACATCTATGTACCAAGTTTTATTGAAATGTGATGATTAGTACTTGAGATATCAGTGGAAAAGCCGAAAATTGATTACCGTAATCCTTCTATCAATTCGACCCCTCTATTAGTTGAACCACCTAATTTTGTCTGCAAAAATATTTCTTTGTTTTTCCTCTTTTAGTCCGGCCACTCACAGGAAATGGGGCATTCAAATTGCTATCATCCCAACAAATGTTTCTCGCAACGAATAACAATAAAACAAGTTTACTATGTTTGTCTTCCTGTGCATTATTCTGTCACTTCACCCTCTTTTACCCACAAAGAAACAATGAAGTCTTCCAGACGTTTAAGCTTTGGTAAACCCAAGTGCGTCTTTGTAGGGTCAAACTGGTGTCATATGCTAATCACTTTCACTGTTGCGTGCAGCGTGATTTATGATTGCCGGCAATTTAGACAAAAACAAAATTTATGTAAATGAACTAGTAACCACAATTTTCCTACCACTGGGCCTATAGTAAATTTGATAGTGACACACTAACATCCTGTAAAAAGATCATGTAATGTAATCAATCATTCAGCTTGTCAGTCTAAAGGCATTTATTAGTTGCGTTCATGCACAGCTCCTTAGCACGGGCTAAGAGGTCAAATTCCTTAGTCCGTGCTAAGCAAACGTGCGTGAACGCTTAGCACGGGCTAAGGAACGCTAAGTACGGGTTAAATCTGATCCGAATTTAAGACGCGGTCTAGACCCTTAGCACGGGCTAACAAAGTGTGCGCGAACGCTTAGCCCAGGGCTAAGCGCCTTCTGCAGCGACCTTTGGGTGTGAACATTATGAACGTGGTCAAATATATCCAACTTTCTCATTTCCAAAATGGCAACCGAGCTCAGTGTACACGCTTCCACACTGATCGGGTCGCTGTAGTAGAGCGTACAGCAGCTCCAATTGTAGACAAAATAAATTTGGTTCGCTGTCTACGACATGCATTAATAAAACTCTGTATTCTGTTACGCCGTTGTATACTGTTTCTATGCATCCAAATAAGTTGGGACCATCTTCTCTCACGTTCATGTGCACGTCGCTTCAAAATTAGAACGAAACATGTCAGCAGCAGAAATAGAACCTCGCGCGTGTCATCCATTTTTCGTTCACAAATAGCGGCTTGCCAAAGGTCACCAACTGATGGCGCCCCTTAGCCCGTGCTAACGACTGTCCCTCCCTGTGCGTGGATGCAATTGGGTCTAGATAAGCCTAAATCAGCTTAAATCTTAGCCCGTACTTCATGTAACGTGAACACAACTATTGTTTACTGCAAATATGCTAATGAGGAGATAAGTGGAGACGCGTTTATTTTAAAACATGCTAATGAGGAGACTAAGTGGAGAGTGTTTGAACTGAGACAGTGCGTCTTTGGAAGTCAAACTTGTGTTGTCTGCAAGGAAACATTGGATCAACATTGACCTGTGATGGCTGTAAAACAATCATGTAATAAATTATTCAGCTTGCATTTAGATTTTTCTTTATTTTTTTTATTACAAGCCAATATTACTGTGAAGTATTCACCAATGTTTTGCCATGCTTTTTGACTGCTGGCCATTTATCTAGTCACAGTGATTAGACATGACGTTTTATATAAATTGAAGTTGGTAAAACATTTTCAAGGCCACTCCACTCTTTCAAAATATGCTAAGCAGTAAAAAAAAATAGTATGAGAAAAAGATTGAGCGAGTGTATGTGTTATTACTTTTATTGCGAATTACAACAGGCATGATCGAACTATGGTTTACAAAACTTGACAAGCTCTGTGGGTGGTACATGTAGCGCTGCAGCTGTGTCTGTTGCGTTCTCTTCTTCAAGTGGTAGTTTCTTTTTCGTTCTCAATCCTGCAGTTCATTTACTAGAATTTATAGCCTTATAATTCGACCACTCAAAATACACCTCTGATAGTTCGACCACTCAAAAAAATAATTTCTGTTTTTCTTCTTATAAATCGGCCACTCCCAAAAATAATTATTTTTTCATGATCAAATTGATAGAAGGATTACGGTAATCATTATGCAAATTAGGTACATGCAATTAATATTGCACAGATTTTTACTCAAAACTAATCAAATCTGAGCATTAGTTTGGAGCATCTGTGTGCCAAGTTTCATCAAAATCCAATGAGTGGTTCTTTAGATATCAGCGGAAAAGTCATAGAACAGCTAAAAATTAGCTAATTATCATGCAAATTAGGTAATTAACGAGCATGGATTTTTACCAAAACCTAATCAAATCTGCGCATTGGCCCAGAGCATCTATGCACCAAGTTTCATCAAAAACTGATGTATGGTTCTTGAGATATCAGTGGAACAGACGGACACACACACACACACACACACACACACACACACACACATATATACAGACACACTAACTGCAAAGACTCCCTTTTTGTGCTTCGCACACGGGAGTCAAAAATTGATATGCTGATAGTGAAGATGGTGCTGATGTTTATATTTATGAAACAGTTTATGAAGGATAAGTACAAATGGTATTACCAAGATTGCTCTAGTAATGAGAACACAGGTTTAATTTGCGATGTATTGATTGTAACTAACCTGCAAATAGGATGGTAACTGCCACCACAATCTGTAGGAAATGTCTAAAATACTTGGTATTAGCTATAGCATATATCAGAAGACATTCTAGTGGAGCAAGTAGTCCTACAAACAGCATAACGCAACCTAATAATAATGGATCTACATCTGTCCATCTCTTATCAGCTTCACCATACTCTTGATCTGCATTTTAAAACATAAATCATTTCCATGTTAGAAGTGGTAGCAATATAGCAGAACAATCCTCCTCAACAGGTGACATCACCTCATCCAACAGGTGACATCACCTCATCCAACTGGTGACATCACCTCATCCAACTGGTGACATCACCTCATCCAACTGGTGACATCACCTCATCCAACTGGTGACATCACCTCATCCAACTGGTGACATCACCTCATCCAACTTACTGGTGACATCACTTCATCCAACTGGTGACATCACCTCATCCAACTTACTGGTGACATCACCTCATCCAACTGGTGACATCACCTCATCCAACTGGTGACATCACCTCATCCAACTGGTGACATCACCTCATCCAACTTACTGGTGACATCACCTCATCCAACTTACTGGTGACATCACCTCATCCAACTGGTGACATCACCTCATCCAACTGGTGACATCACCTCATCCAACTTACTGGTGACATCACTTCATCCAACTGGTGACATCACCTCATCCAACTTACTGGTGACATCACCTCATCCAACTTACTGGT